ACTAACCTGTAACCACCTAACACTAACCTGTAACCACCTAACACTAACTTGTAACCACCTAACACTGAGAGAGTTTGGTGACGGGACAGACCCAGGGCGCAGGCAGGTTTCAAAATATAACAAAAAGATTTATTAAAGTAACAAAAAGAGGGCTGGTGGCAGCAAACTTACAAAATGCACGAGGATGGCAGGCAGGGGGAACAGAACTCACGCAGAGCAAAGCAGACTGAGCAAAACAAAGACATGCAAAAACAATGATCCGACACCAGACTGAGACAGGAACAGGGTTTAAATACACAGAAACACAAAACACCTGAGGAGAAACACAAGGGTGACAATCAAGGTAAATGTGGGGCAGCTGGGCAAAGACACACTGGGGAACATAGAAAACACTAGGAAAACTAAGGAAAATAAATACAGACTATGACAATTTGCACTTATTTTTCCCACCATAATGTCCAGATTCTCCTCACCTGCAGTAAATATTGTGTTGTGCCTTTCCTTTTTATTTTTATTCTTAATGTTCCTAATCTCTTTCTCCTCCCAGCCCAGTGTGCCTCCAGCCCCCCAACGTCCCCCTCCAGCCGTGTTCCTACCTCGTCCTCTGCTGATTTTCCAAACTCTGCCCATGTTATGAAGGTTTAGCTCTCACAAGGTGAGTTTATTTACAGTGTATCTCCTCCCTGATTTCTTACTTCTCACATCTGACTAAAAGGTAAAGGGCTGTGCAAAAAACATTGATTTTGAAGCAAAGCCCAAGAGAAGCAGAACCTGCAGCTTAATTTATTACCTGTGTTAACTGTTTTATTAATTTTGTTATTAAATGTGTTAACTGTTATTAACTTTGTTAAAAATGTGTTATTAACAGTTATTAACTTGGTTATTAACTTTGTTGTTAACTGTTAACTTTGTTATTAACTGTGTTATTAACTCTGTTATTAACTGTTACTAACTGAGCTATTAACTGTTATTAACTGGGTTATTAACTGTTATTAACTGGGTTATTAACTGTTATTAACTTTGTTATTAACTGGGTGATTGACTGCTATTAACTGTGTTATTAACTGGGTTACTAACTGGGTTATTAACTGGGTTATTAACTGTGTTAATAACCCATCTATTTGTTTTGAGAATGTCTTTTTCAGATTTTTTTTATGATGGTTTGTGGATATTGTACTACAGTCACATTGACCATACATGAGCAGTTCTAATATTAACAGGTTCATCAACAGTCACCCAGTTAACTGTGTGAGTTGGAATGTGAAATCCCTCAATGGTCCAGTGAAATTTARKAAAKTTATGACACATTTAAGACAACTTAATGCTAATATTACTTTTTTGCAGGAGACCCATTTGCGTAAAGCAGACAGTGCAAATCTAAGCAGGCGCTGGTCTGGTC